GTCTATCCTTTCTGGTTCACCCAGGTTGAAGTCCTGGCATTCATAGTAATGCCTGAGCGCTTCTGGGATATATAACATTAATAGTTATTCAATCACGTTCGATGTAGGGAAATGTTGTCTATCCTTTCTGGTTCACCCAGGTTGAGGTCCTGGCACTCATAGTAATGCCTGAGCGCTTCTGGGATATATAACATTAATAGTTATTCAATCACGTTCGATGTAGGGAAATGTTGTCTATCCTTTCTGGTTCACCCAGGTTGAAGTCCTGGCACTCATAGTAATGCCTGAGCGCTTCTGGGGTACATAACATGAAGAAATTTTTGCAGGTGATCAGGTAAATCTTGGCCAGAATTGTCTATCTTTTGTGTATGTTTTAATTTTTTTTCCTAATTTAGGTTTGTAACCATCTGAGAAAATTTTCTCGCAGAGTATCTCAAATGTTCTTCTCGTAATTGATTTGTTAACTCCACAGTTCAATATAATATATATTACATTTATTATTCCAGAGTATCTGAGAAATAGTATTTCAGTGGTTGATGCAGCCTAGTATTGTATTTTTGTTCTAATTGTTGTTATTGTTGTGGTTATTTTTTTATTAGTATTATTATGATTTTTTTATGGTTATTTTTTGTTATCATATTTGTTGTTATTTTGTTTTGTTTTTTACTTAATTTTATTTTCTTTAGCATTACACTAATCTGAAAAATTCAGAAACATTTTTGAGAGAGTTTGGGGAACCCACTCAGTCACAATTGACGTCAAAGATACAGGTAAAAGTGGACCAATATAATTACAGTGGCAATTGTTTACTTAACAAGTTGCGTTTAAACCTATTTACCCATCCCTTACATGTTCTGTGCGTCATGCATCAGGACCAATTTTCAGTTTTATAATATGCCTGTTACACAGTTAAAAGACTTTAATTACAGCAAATATATTTTTGTGTATTACATGAGAAAAGCATGAAGTATTATTAACCCTTTAAAAAACGAGAATGGGATGTTTCTTAAATGTAAGCAGTCTCGCATAGCAGACAACGTGTTTTTATGGTAATTAGTGAAAATTTACTCTCTGACTCGTAAAAAAAAATGTTAATTATAATACACTTTTAACGCGAACCTTATTTTTAGTTCTCCTAAAACAGGAAATAAATGCTAAGCTGGCATTTTGGACTGGAAAGCAGCAAGAAGTTGTTTCAAAGCTAACCATCCTTCAGAAAGACAAGAAGTATCCAGACGAAGTTCAAAATTATGTTGCTGAGTATCAACTAGATGCCTACCGAAATGTAAGCTACTTTCGTTACTTAACACTGTTCTCAGTTGGTACCTTCTGCTTTTTTCATGTCGATACAATTCATTAATAGCCAAGTCGTTTTGATGTGAGTCGATTAAGTTGAGGGAAGGCCATTGGCTCCGCCCTAGTAACCGAGAGCTTTACACCGGTTTCCATACTTCTGACATTTGTTTTCTTCGAGTTTGTCACTTCATACGTTTCATACTAGGTTCGCTGCAGTGACAGGTCATTTCGCCCCAAAGGGCATTCTTCCGATGTCAGTTTGCCTGAACTTGAGACAATCCGCCCGATATTTATCCATTGTTCTTTTAACCTTTAGAACGAATTCATGCCTTTTTAGTCTTGTAAACACGCAGACAACATTTTTTTGTCCCGGAAGTTAAATACAGTTTGGCTGCAAAAGTTCGTATCGAAACGACTTGTATCTAAACGGCCTGCTTCATTTGCTTAATGATGATGTCGGTTTTGCCCTTCTGAGTAGGCTTACGTTCATTTCGCCCCCAAATCATTTCGCCCCGGTTAATTTGCCTCCTATATGAGAACGAGATGTTTTATATTTGAAGCGCGCTTTTAAGGTTTATGGCTTATAGAATGAGGAAAACTATATTTGGTGCGCTCTTAATGACTCAAAAATAAGGGGGCTTAGTTATCTGGCGAAATTACTGACGGGCGAAATGACTGATGAGCCTTAGAGTTTATCATATGACTCAACCTTCATACAGTGTACAGTAGTAACAAACGTAACAATAAACTTAACCCTAATCGTTATTAACTCCTCTTTAAGTCAAAATCAGATGTTGAACCCGAGCGGGATGAACTCAAAGGGAGGCGAAACTTGCGGTTTTTTATTGAAATTAACGTTTAAACGTTGTCTTTGAAACAAACAGACGCACTGTTAATTTTCCGTAGTCTCTGCAATGTCGAAACACGTCAGGCCACCATATTAACTCCAATTCTCTGGTTGATCTACCTTCCCCAGCATTTACAACAATTTCCGAACGGCTTGTTGGTGTTTGTTGCTCACCTTGAACACGAGTCGTAAAGCGCGAAAATGCTCTTTGTTTGGCTGCCTCGACTGCTTCCTCTGTACTTGTGAAACGTTGAAAATTGACTTGTGCACCATACCTAAACGCTGCCGAGGTCTGCATCCTTACAATCTCTTGTTCTGTCAGTGCATTTAAAACCACCTCCGCGTCATATATTCTGTAGGAAAACCTACGGGTAATATCGTGATGTAAAGGTTGCTTGTGGTGCTTTACATCTCGCACCTGGTACAGTGGTGGGCTGCCTAAGCTAAAAAGTAGATGCTCGAAGTGACTCTTTTTAACGTGGACTTCATGTATCTGTTGCCATCCAGCTAAAAAATTAAAAGAATGGAATGTACTTTTGTTTCGCTATTATACCAGAAATTTGCAGTTTTACTAGAGAACACCATTGCCTTCTGCAGGGATTAATAGACTTTATAAAATCTGTAAATTCCTCACCTTTACCGCTTGGAGTTAAGGATCCAACAATTTGCTCGGCTACTAATGCCAACCACATTTTATAGTGAGGCATTTCTTCTTTATCCAGTTGTATAGCTTTGGGCTGGTTCACAAGCGCTTGTCCTCGCGAGTCCCTGAATATCCCACCTTGATAGGGGTGCTGATAGTGGCTATGATCGTAATGCTTCTTCGCAGAATAACCCGTCTTAAATTGCTTGTTGCACTTACTGCAATTGATCGTGAACGCCATGACAAGACACTAAGTGGCAACCGATTGTAAACTCTGTTCACGCACCTGCTTTTTTTACCCCTAGTTACAACAATAATGAAAGGCCTATCGATCGCATATCTAGATTTCAGCCGGCTTTAAACGTTAAATTTCCCTTGTTCCGAATTGAATACTAATGGAAAAAATCTTTTGTTCTCGCTTATTTGCATTTGTTTAGGATTATGTGAAATTTGACGTTTGAAACAGGCGTTGGTGACTCACACATTTTTTATTTGATTTTTTCTTCGATGAAGCAATATATTTTCGCTTTGATAAGCCTTCTCGTGACGAGGGTATTGACTTTTGGTGTACTTGCGACTACAAGTAAGATTGCTTAAGATAATTAACAATATAAGTAAAACTTTTTTAATTCTATTTTTGACGCTATTTTAATTTTTATCAACACACCATTTATAAAAGAACAACAACTCTTTAATACAATATTTCACCAGAAGACAAAACATCTTAATTGCTTAATAAGAACAGCTATGTTTTCAGCAAAGTGACAACATTTTTTTTGGCATTTTTTCCTGGCATAAGCGGAATAGATTTCTTTACAACGTCAGCAGTGAATTAAGTTCAACAGTTAACTGTTCGCGCAATCAAACGCCTCGCACAGTTCATTGGCTGTTGGTCTTTGTAAAGGGTTGGAGCGAAGACATGACCGATAAAGACTGACATAAGTCGTCGGGAAGCGAGTCATAAATTTGTATTTCATTCCCCTCATTAGGAATCCAACTGAATAAATGTCCGTTTTCTTGCTCTGTCTACCGTTCGGCTGTCCTAGTTCGGGTGCCAGGTGTTTAAACCTCTTGGTGTCTGCGGGCGTTTGGTATATTCTGGGATTGCTTTGGTCAGTTGCTTTCCCAAAGTCCACCAGCACAGCTTCTGCCTCTGCTAAGCTGGGTCCATCTAGAACTACGTTGTTTGACTTAATGTCATTGTGGAGGATTTTTATTTTGTCATGGATATGTCGTATTCCTCTACAAAGACCGCCCAAAAGGTGAGTCCAGTTAATGGTATCATCTTCACTGGGAATATCGCCAAGATCAAAACGCTCGCCATTGATATTGTAAAAAGTTGTCACTATGTCAACTCTGTTTTGTCTCTCCACTATGCCAATGAAGGAGGCGGTGTTTGGATGGCTTAGTCTTGCGGTCATTCTCGCTTCTTGTCTACTTGCCAGGCAGTTTTGCTGTTGTTTTACCACAACTGTGCGTGCGCCGAACTCTGCTAGGTAGCAAGTTCCAAAACACCCCCGACCAATTTCCTTCTCCATCATTGTGAGATCCCTCTCCTCGATCACTCGCAATGTTCCCGTTTCTGCTTCCTTCCACTTACCGAAGAAATGTAGTGCGTGTCTATGGTACCGCTCAGCTGTTTCTTGTAGTCGTTTAATTTCATCTTCTTTTTGCGTTGTGTTGACTCGGGACTCAAGACCTTCTTGGTCAGTTTTCTCAGGGTTTACTGGAGCTTTCTATGCTTCTGTTGTACGAGCGTTGCGACTTCGTCTTCTTTTTGCTTTTTCGGCTTTTTCTTTCGTCTTTCTTTTCTTTCGGTTATCAGAGCTCCTTCGATACCTTAACAACTTAGCTGGTAACATTTCCAGGCAATATCAATAATTTCAAAATAAAGCTAGCTGCACTACGAAGTTGACTTTCTTTGACTTGCCCCAACTCAAGTTTGGAAGAACACCGGAAACACCTAGAATAAATTGCGTATACTTCTTTTGTCTTTTTCGCTTTCTTGTGGTGAAATATTGTCGTTTGAATAATAGACCATTCAGAAAACACAATGTGATTGCAACGTTACCGGAAGTATCGTTTGTTACTAACGATCACTATTAAATCATGCTTAAGCTCAGTTACAGTTCACACTCTTTCCGTTTTTTAATGTTAAATGTAAAAGCGAAGACGCGAAATTGCGTACGAGGAAGAGCGAGTGTGGGGGGTGGGAGGCACTCCGGGTTCACTCTCTGCTTTTGCACATGTCTCTTTTATAACCACTGGTGTTTACTATAGGTGATCTTTATTGTGGAATGAAGGGTTGCTTACTGATTACCGTTTTACGTCGTTTTGCATTTTAATTTAAAATACTGTCTGTACTATCTAATTATATCTATATTGACACCGAAGTTCTGGTTGAATTATTGAACGAATTCAGAAACCTTTTTCCATTAAAGGTTTTTTGCAAGTGGCGTAAGATTGCCAAGATCATGCGGCAAAGCGTTTTTGATGAAAACATGGAAGAAGAAATCGACATATTCGACTTGGAGGTTTGCCTGTGTTTTTGTTGAGCTCTCTTTCAATTCACCAAAAGCAAAAAACTATTTTATTGCTAAATCGTTCTTAGATTTAGTTTAAATGATTATACTTCACACTACACCACTTTGCTCCAGGTTGAAAAGACTTCTTTGTATAACAAGCGCATTCAGAATTTCTTAATGCTAGTTTACAATTTTTTAATGACCATCCAGGAGGAATATGTTTACTGTTCGCCATACATCCTATAACTTGAATTTGCGCGGTACCCATTTATTGACTCTAAGGAAGACTAGAACGACAACCTATGGACTACACTCTTTTTCGTATTTTTCCGCCCAGCAATGGAATGCTCTTCCCGACGAATTAAGGAAATGTACTTTTAAAGATTTTAAGCGACGTCTGCAAAGTCTTAATGCGTTCGATCAGTCTTCACTAATTTTTGTCTTCTTTTGTGTGTATTTTTTTCTTCAGTTTTTAGAGATCTCGCTTTGTTTCTCGAAGATATTAGCTATTATAGTTTAGCTACTCTAAAATTCTTGTTAAAGTAAAGGTTATGCATGTAAGTATGTATTCTTCTTTTCGTGTTTGTTTTTACAGTGCAAAGAATGGGGTTTTTGCCTAAGAGAGCTGTTTGGTTTGGGCCTCGGCACCGGTGACTACGGCCATTTAACTGTTGAACATGCATCCATGCTTCTCCGGAATTTTAGATCATTGCGCCATTACAGCAACCAAGGTTTTGAGGCTGCTCATAAGCTGCAAAAACAGATATTCAGCAGGGCAACAAACCATGACGGAAGCGGCGAAGCGACTTCTCGTACGTTATCATGTGTAACATTAAGTTTTGATAGATCTTAACTTATTGAAATTCTTTTCATTTAGTTGCCAGTAATTGTGTCGAAGCATAATTAACCACTTTTAATTTGCGAATCCCTCCCATTATCTTAATTCTAGTTTTGATGGACGATCACTTGACGTAGCCAGCCCATAAACCTTTAGGCCCGTGCCTACCCATTTTTTTTTTTTTTTTTTTGATCAATCTTCCGCTTGTAATAAATTATTCTTTGTTGGGGTAAGCTAAAAAGCTTAGGAGCCCAAAAGGTTGGTGGGGTCCGTGCGTAAGATAGGAAGACCCACAGTTGGAAATCCCTATAAAACCAGCTGTCGTCATTCGTTGTAATAAGAGGAAAAATAAGGGGTGGTTGTAGTTTATTTTTTTTAATTTTTTTTTATTTATTTTTTGTTATTTTTTTTTAAATTTATTTAATTTTTTTTTTTTTGGTATTCTCTCCTTTTTTTTTAATTTTATTTTTGTTGGTTGTTCTCTTTCCTTCTCCAGCCTTTTTTTTTTTTGGGCCGGGCCTACCCTTTTTTTTTTTTTTTTTTTTTGATCAGTCTACCGCTTGTAATAAATTATACTTTGTTGGGGTAAGCTAAAAAGCTTAGGAGCTCAAAGTGTTGGTGAGGTCAGTGCGTACTAGTCCTGCGAGCTGGCTACGCACTTGGAACCTAAAACAATCCTCAAAGGATGTCCGCGCAATAATCGACTGTTTTACTGAAGAGGGTCGGTTGAGTTTTCCATTATTTTCATTTTTTCAGTGGACCAGATTTTAACCCATCAGTATGCAGAAAAGCTCCTGTTTTTAAGACTTTGTTTTAGAGAAGCCAAAGAATGTGCAAGAAAAGGTAAGGCAGTTCAGTTAAGAAGCGCCATGAACATTCTGTATATGTCAATTTCATTTTTGGATGATGATTCCATATCACTGAATATCTCAGTGTTTTTGCAGCTTTTGGATGATAATTCCATATCGCTAGTGTAGTGTATGCGAATTATAACGGTAAACAACAGGAGAGCAGGGAGAAGATAAATAGTCCGTTTTATAAACTCGAACACTGGCTACTCATTTGTTTAAATAGCGGATTACAACCAAAAATGATTTTTTAATTACACAAGAAATGCCTGAATGCCTTTACAGTTTTAACTAGAACCATATGAGTGCAACTTTTATTTCAACCATCCCTATTTGTTTTGTTGTTTAGGAAAGAAATTTTACTTCAGAGGATGCGGCTGGCCCAGCATTAGCACTAAAGGATGGAGTGTAGCACACAAGCGTTGGATAGAGATCATGGACGATGTCTTTTCTACGTTTATGTGTAAAGACTTCCTTTCTTATGAGTACAATGAAAAAAAATGCTGTGTCGTGTCAAAATCTGATCAACCAAAGTTTGAATACGACGATACTACTTGGGAGAATATTATCAAGCAGAAGATGGCAGAGTATAAATGGCTGGAAAGCGAAACTCGGCGTGCACGGAAGGCAAAAAAGGTGCGAGTGCCCCAGAAAACTCGCAGAATCCTTTTTAAGGCCCGTAAAGGTAAAACGAACCGTTCCAAGTTATCCCCGGCTTTGTTGCCCTCTTCAAGTACCTCTCAGACGCAAAGATCTCCCAAAACGTCCAACGTCAGAGAAAGTAAAGGCAAATCGCGCTGTTCATCCGTTACTCCCAAACATGAGAAGTCTTCGCCATCGGCAACTCATACTACAAAGGCGCGCTTTCCCAAACTTCGACGATGTCTGTTTAAGGTGTCTAGCAGGAAACGTAAGCCAGCATCACCCTTGAAAACCTCGCCTATCAAACGTAAACCGGCTGCCAAAACACAAACATCGTGCTCGAATCATGTTCTTTCTTCAGAAGACCCAGCCAATTCAATTCTGTCGTTCACAAACTCGATATCTGCAGACTCAAACAGTCTGCTAAAAGAAGATCACAAGACCCCTCTGCTTAATTTGACAAATAGGAGGCAAAACACCAAGCGAAAACGCAACATCAAGAAGTGTGACGGGAGCAAGTTTCGTAAAATGCTTAAAGACGTGTCTGTGAACGCAGACGAACACTCTGAGAACGAGAGCTGCTTTTACTCAGTTTCGAACAACAATTCACCGAATTTGATTTGTCGAGGAACTTTTCATCAAGGTTGTCATGATTCATTTCATTATCCAGGGCAGCAGTGTTCTGCTATTGCATTAGCGGCCATCTTCTACAGTACAATAACTTCTGTGGACACCTGGAAATCGACTAATGTTGACGAGATTTTGCTTTTAGGAGACAAGATCCACTTTTACCAGTTGTGCCATTTAAAGAAGGATCCAAATGGTGATCAAAAATTGACACTTGACGAAGTTCCAAATGGCCTCACGATGCTAAATTATACTTTTAGTAACGAGGGCAGAGAAATCGTGGCAGGGTCCTTAAAGAAAGAAGATGACCCTGATAATGATTTTCCTACATTGGAGGAAGCCCTCAGAAAGTGCCAAGGTGCAACCGGTATGGTGCTGCGAGTCTTGGACTACTGCGTTGGTTGCATCAAGGAGTCTTCATCTTGGTGTCTAGTAGATTCGCATGCAAGAAATTCGGAGGGCTTCATTGATGAAAACGGAACTGGTGTGGTCTTAAAGTTTAAGTCTTCGAGTGAACTTGCAAATTATGTAAGACGTTTTGTGGAACAGCAGACAACTTTGCCACGCGATGCCGATTTATCATTTGAGGCACTCATCGTAAAAGTCAGAAAAGTTCAAAACGAAGACAGCAATGGTTCTATTGTTCCAACCATGAAGTTGTTTTCGTGGGCATCATCTCACGGACAATGTGAAATTTTCAGTACATCCCTGTGCCGCCTTGAGGAAGGAAAGAAGCTAGACGACAACACCGTGGACTTCTATATTTTGCACTCGATTAAGTCTTTAGTAGAAGAGGATAAAAGGGACGATTTACATGTTTTTAATTCGTGTTTTTACGCGTAAATAGAAAAGAACCTTAACCCACAGACAACAAGGCATTGGACAAAAAGAACAAACATGTTTGAAAAAAACTTTGTGATCCTCCCAGTGTGTTATAATGACCACTGGATTTTGATCATAATCAAGGTGGTTTTTCCTGAAGTGTCAATGACAATTCTGGACTCTGCAAATGCAGAAAGGATCCCACGAGTGCACGTGGAAAGGACGGTTAAACGGTACTTAGAAGAAGAATGGCGTGCTAATTATTCTTCGCAGCAGGATTTGGTGTTTCAAGGTTCCAGGTATCCAGTTGTTCCCCAGCAAACTAACAATGTTGACTGCGGTGTGTACTTGCTGAAAAATTTTACGGATTTCCTCAAAAGCTACCCTATCACTGAGTTGGCGTGGGCTTCTTGGAGACCCGATTACGCAGAGGAAGACGTGGTTGAGCTCAGAAGGGAAATTAGGTTCTTGATTCAAAGACTGAGTTGTCAGTCTAAATGATCTTCAGTAATTGGCCAATTCAAGGTTAACAGGGAGGCTCTTTACCCTTTGTTTAATAGTTCAAAACTATGCTATCCGAAGGTCTATCGACCATAGGACCAATAGAATGCTGATTATTCTTGACACGCTAAAGTGGCAAACAGGCTAAAAGGCTAAAAATGTCGTAGGTTAAAAGCAAGAGAGAATTGTTTGTTATGTCCTAACGGGCATTTAAGGTGCGATTAGAAATAACCTTCAATATTCATATATGTAGAGTATTCAATGTACAGATATGCGCGTAAACGATGAACGGAAATGCTCGAATTAGCATCCGAGTGAAGCTTGATTTAGTTTTCTGGAGGTGCCTTTTTCCATTTTCAAAGTTTCTCTGAAAAATAACATTTTCTTAAGTTCAAATAAGCATTAACTTTACCAGTAAACAAGAAGAAAACTGGAAGACATCTGTGAGAAGGATCACAACTTTTGTTTCTTATATAAGGTTCTCGCTCTATTCTATTTTCTAGACTGCGTGTGAAAAAGATCTCGTGGAGAGTTTTGTTGCCAACTAGTCCTCGTGCTTTGTCAATGACTCATAACTGGAATAGCCCTCGTTTTTTTAACAAGGAGCGCAAGACGATAGACTCATTTACGGTGGTTTGTTTCCTTGAAGAAATCAATAGCGCTCCAACCCTCCCTCAAGTAATCTAAAAGAAAATAAAAAATTGAGGACTTTTCAAAGATGTACGAATCCTGTTAAAAATCAGTGGTGTTGAAAGTTTTTACCGTGTAATTAAATGAACGTTTGTCTCAGTCTTTCTTCTGTATACACTCATTTCTCGTGCCTTCTGTTTCGCATTTTTCGACGTCGATATGACTGTGGCTGTCATGCCAAAGAAACCGTAGGGAAGCCACTTTTGCTCCCTGATCGCTATTGGTAATTCTAACTGACGTGAGGATACTTTAAAAAGGTTAGGGAAAATAATTCGCTGTGGCTTGCCCGGAAGCCGGGAAGAGTCCAAATTTACTATTTTTCGTGTTTCTAAACTAAATGCCCGGCAGTCAGATAATGCTTTCGCATTTCTACAAATAACTGTTTTCTTGAAAGTATTCTATCTTCATTTATAATTACCAAGCGATCAGTAAAACAAGAATGGCTGAATGGCCTGGTAACTGGGAAGTTGTGGTTTGTTGTGCGAGAGTCGAGTCGACGGCTTTTTGGCGCTTAGAAAAACTTCGGGAGTATATGGCAGCGCGTGACTCGCTGGCTCGTTTTTGAAAATTACGCACGGGGTATTCAAATAGCCATTCCTTGAACCCTTTGTAACTGCTTGGCTACTCTGAACTTTCAAGGGAACTAACGTGACACCTATTGTTGCCACAACAAAGACTACAGTACTTCGGGTGACCATCACTTACCAATTCTAAACCATGATAGAGGATTTTTTTCATGTTTTGCAAAATTATGGGAAGGCTTTATCTAAGATTCTGGCACCTCCAGACCCATCAAGCTGTGTCGAGAGTTTTGAGGTTGCTCGGGGTTACAAATTAAACCACTGTATTTTTGTTATGAGGCTAGTATGTATTCGTAGCTTAAGAGAAGGATTTTTATCTTTCCTGATGACTTTCAGACTGCCGAGTATTTGGCCTGTGTGGAAACGTGCCCGTGAGTCACTTGCTGCTACTCCGGCTCAGTTGCCGTGCGAAGCTATTCCCTTTTTTTTCCTGGACGTTTGGTTATTCTAAATGAAGATAGAATACTTCCAGGCGATTAGAAAAAGGGATTTTGCAGAAATTCCAGAAAATTTTCTGAATGCCGGGTATTAAGTTCTTTTGAGACCCGGCTGCCTGGCATAAAGGCACAGCGAAAAAGATATCGTTATAATTCTACATTATGTTCAAGTTGAGTTAGCACACAGTACTAGCCAGCGAACCATGCACGTTTTCATGTATTTACTTTATTTTTTTCCATGGCGAGTTTATGGCTCGCTGCCGGGCTCGTAGATGGTCTGGCCCCGTTCAAATAGGCGGGCAATGTTTTGTTTGTTCTCGACTCTTCCCTCCTGTCCGACACAGTACCACGATTAAACAGTTCTAACTTGAGAATTCGCTGAAATAAATCATCAAAGGCCACTGTTTTCACGAGCAATGCATGGCCACAGTTTAAAACAAGCTGGATCAGTCTATAAACTACACTTAAATGCGCGACAATAGTATATCCGGTGAGAAAGAATAGAAATCATGTATGTATTTTAGACTTCTCATCAAACACCGAAACAAAAGAAATGTTGTATAATTACGCCAAATTTATTTGGTATTAAGATGCTCCCCAAATAGTTGTCTGCTAGCCTATCTTTGTGTCATAATCGATATCAACCACAGAGCACAAAACTGAAACCGCCAAAAGCGCCACTGAATATAGTTAAACAAAAAGTCAGGCCGTTAAATTAGCGGTGGATAGCGTAGCGGCTCAGCCTGTGTAGTATTTTAAATTGCATCGACTAAATACGCAGCTTAAAATGTTTATTATTATTATTACTGCGAGACTGAAGAGTTTTTAGCCGTAACAAGCGCTCGCCAAGCGAGTTTCTTATCTCACCGCTATTTTAACACCATGTACATTTTTTTTGGAAACCGGTCTTTTAATTAACTTTTCGCACTGTAGGATGATGACATGATTGCGTGAAAATTCACGCCTTTATCTTATTAGATGGGAAATACGATCAGAAATTAATGAAATATGAATTTTGCGAGCTACTGGGCATCCAGCTGAGATAGCTGACTTTTACTCAGCTATCTCAGCTGGATACCTAAGATTTTTTTGGTTGCTAAGACGATGCAGCTCGTTATGACCACTTTGGAAGAGTTTGAAAATTTCATCTGGCTCAACGAGATACCAAGCGATCAGATTTCTGAAGCGGTGGATCGAATGATGACCTTAACATTTCCCGAAGAGGTAAGTTGTTAACGTTTGAATGTCATTGAGTAATAATTTCTTTTAGTAACATGTAGTTCCATTCCAGGATCAGTCTTCCAACATTCCCTTGGTGGATGCCATTATTCCACCCGAAGTGATGGACCCATGGAGCGATTGGGAGAAAGAATTTGAAACGGTATGAGTCCTTATTGAAATGTTATAGCGTCACTATTGTCCGTCGTACTAATTCAATTTCTGTTGTTGAAATTATTATTCGATTACACTTTTTCAGGAACCTTCTTCCAACGAAGTTCAGAGCGGCATGGGTAGGAAAAGAGCAGCACAGGTAAGTGTTTTCGTAATTACTTTACTCACTTTTCTTATTTAAACACATAGTTTGACAGGCATTTATACGATTCATTTGATGTTTGAGGAGGATGTAGACAAACCCCCTACCAAAAGTGCTCGGCATGCATGTGAAGCGTGTGGAAAAGTTTTCACTCGACCAGATAAATTAAAACGCCACGAAAAAACACATACCAACGAAAAACAACATCAGTGT